GGGGGGGGGGGGGGGGGGAGCGTGTAGTTCTCCGCGCGGCCTCCCTTTGGGGTGGCTCCTTCATCACCCCGGAGTCCCTTTTGGGGGATGCCCTTTTCTCGGACCACCTGGGCCCAGACCCCTCTGGTCCCCCATCCTCAAAGTCTCCCCCTTCCTCGCCCCCCCTCCCTCGCGCTCCCTCCCCCCATTATTTTTTCTCCCTGCTCCCTTTCCTGCCTCTCCCCTGGCTGCTGTGACCACCGACCCTTCGCTACCTCGCTCGTCCTTTGCTCCTACTCCCCGGGCTTTTCTTTCTTCCCACCTCCTCTCCCCCCCCCCCTGCACACACCCTGCATTCTGCCTCGCCTCTCCTCTCCGCTAACTAGATACCTTCGATACTGCCCCCCCCCCACCCCACCCCACTCCGCCCCTCCCGCTCTTCATCACCATACAGGGTAAATACCGCCTGGCCGAACTAGAAATTAGGTGGGCACCAGGATATTTCGTCCCCGCCCCCCACCCCACCCCACCCCTCCTCGGCCAGACTACCACGTCTCACAGGTCGGTCCTTGGCCTTGCCATGACCCACAATCGGAGGGCGAAGAGTGTCCCCATGCCCCTCTGGTGCCATGCGTCTGGTGTTGCTCTTGGGACCAACCTGATACCGCTTTCCCTCGGACTTCTGCCCCGGGCTCAGTGTGCAGGAATGCCGTGCATTTGTTGCGAGACAATCGGTCTCCTTCTCCCTCTCCCTCCAGTCTGATGAAGCCCGCCATTGACGAAGGGGGGAGGAAGAGGCCAGCCCAGTCGCCTATACCCTCGCCTGCGGCGCTGAGAGGTAAAGTCAAGAAAATGTTCGGACAGCGGCCGGTCGAGGGAAGGATGCACGGATTGGGAAATGCTTCGGGGATGTGTATGTGTACATGCGTCCGTTGAGGGAGGGGGAAGGAATAGTGGTGGGTCGCAAGGTGTACGCAGTTGGACGTGACACTCACATAGGAGGAGGTGGTGGTGGTGGACATGTCTCACAAAAGCAGGACTACTGGTTGCATGGCAAAACGGTTCCATGAACCGGGGGGGTCGACGACTGGCGCATTGCATCCGACAAAATATCGGCATGCGCATCGGTGGACCCCGAATCACCGCCTGATGACAGAGCGCTCATCTTGGCTGCCAAATCGGCAAGATTGTCGTCGGCCCGTGCCGCTCCAGCGCTCTCATCTGACATGCCGAAGGAGCCCGTTCGCGCAGTGACGCGTGTGTCTGCCGATTGCAAGTCGCCCACCACAGTCGGCGCCGGCCGGCGCTGGGGGCTTCCCCCCGCACCACTGGCGATGGCGGTGGTGGTGGTGGTGGCGGTGGCGGCGGCCATGCTGCCGCCATTCCGGCGAGTGGTTCCGGTAGACGTGGGCGCCCGCCGTGAAGTGCCCTGCCGTGTTGAACCGGCTGAGTCCGGCCCAAGACCCTCCCCCAGGTCCTCATAGGACACCCAAGACCCGGAGGTCGTCATGCCGGTGGTCGGCCGACCGGAGGAGGCACCACCGCTAAGTGCCCCGCTGATGGCATTGTTAAAGACATTGCTTGTGGTGTTGGCAGCAGCGGCGGCAGCGGTCGCCGCCTTTGACGAGTCCCTTCCCATAGCCGACAAGTTGCCCCCAAGCCCGGGAATGGCACCAGAAGAGGACGACCGTCGATGAGGGGAGAGGGGTGCCATGCCGGGGAGTCGATTGGCTGGGCAATCGCTCGACATGCTGGAATGTCCCAGTTCCGGCAGACACTCGCAGCCCTCGGGCATTTGGCCGCTGAAAAGCAGGCCACTGCCACCACCTCCAGGTCCGGCTGACAACCCAGGCGGGCTGCTGATGAGCCCCCCAACGGCGGCCATGTCCAGTGTCGGTAGGCGTGGCACACTGCCAGACCGGTGCTGAGCCGACAGGGGCGCGACATCCTCACCAAACCGCCGGTCCTTCTCCGGCGAGCCCCCAGGCACATCGGAACCGGCCGTCAGATCGCCCTGGGCCCCCTGGATGCGAATTCGCGGCGGGTGGCCAGAAGAGCCGGCCATCGGCTCGTAACTATCCTGGCGCTGGGTATGCAAGAAGCCATTGGGAGAGGGGAGCACAGGCGAGAAGCGTCAGATGGTGACAGCATTACGGGCAGCACTAAGTTGGGCATATGGCAAAGCGAGGAGGCGCGATGTGAGGATACACACGCTCGACATTGGTCCCGCCGGGGGGAAGTGCCCCGCCTTCGGCGAGGGGGGGGCCGAGAAGGGTCGGCTCAGCTTGGAAGGGTTGCGCGATGACCGGAGGATTTCCTCCACCAGGGCATGGCGCTCCGGGGGGTAGAGGCTGCCGTACTCGCGCACGAGTGAAATGAATCGGGCCTTGGAGTACTCCAGCCCCATGCGGCGCCAGTCCAGCAAGTCGGCCAGACGCTCAGTCCGGTTGCGCAGGTTCACGCGCTGGCGGCGGCTGTTGGCCATGTTCATGGACGCAAGTCAGTCAGGGATGCCATCTCGTGCCATGCATGCGCGCGGATGGATGGGGCGTGACCCATGTGGCCGATGAGCCACAGCAGACGGGAGGCGGGGTGATCGATGATGAGGGAGAAGAATGCAAGTGGGAGGGTGCACCAGGCTAGGCCGGGGCTCGGGAGCATGAACGCACGTCTTCAGGCAGAAGTTCAGCATGTACTCGGTCATTTGGTTGATGGACTCCTCGACCGACTTGAAACGGCGGTCGACAATATGGATGCCGTAGTCGGTTGGCCGGTCGATCTGAATGGTCGGTCGTGGGGGGGGGTGGGGGGGGGCATATATACATGCACATATGGGGGTGGGAGGGGGGGATTAGTATATGACACGGAGATCCCTGTCCTTGGGGGTGTCCCCGGTCGACGGCCCTGAAGCACGCACAGTCTCCTCCATATAGCATCCGAAGCCGGCCAGGTTGGTGGTGATGCTCGGCACACCCATGACCGTGCACTCGGCCGGGGTATAGCCCCTTTAGGGTGGGAAGGCGCATTTCGTCGATAGAATGGGTTCGATTTGCAGCAGGTTAGACTTTTGTCACAGACACCAGGTGAAAGGGAGAGACCTGGGGCGAGGAAAAGGGAAAAGAGGCAAGGGAGAGGGGGAGAGGGAAAGGGGTGGGGAGAAATGATAATAGAAATACCACCACGCACCAGGGCTCGTAGTAAGAGGGGAACACACCCAGGTGACAGCCCCGCACGAAGTCCTCATAATCGATGGGTAGAAGCGGGCTGGTGGAGGACAGGAACTCCGGGTGGAAGATGACCTTCACGCGGTCGCTGCGTTTGTTGAGCAGTTGCGTCCGGCGGAAGGCCGTCAGGATGGGGTCCGGCGTGGTGGCCGCCCCGGATGTCTGGCTGAAAAAGCCATCATTGGCAACATTGTGCGTCGTCACCGGGGGAAGAGAATCACGCTTGGCTGTGGCAAAGAGTCCGCGCTTCAACTTGACACGGTCCGACTCGCTGATGAGGGTGGCCGCATCGGGAATGTGACCGCTGCATGTTTTGAGATAAACATGGTGAGATAAAGGGGGAAGAGGGGGGAGAGGGGGAGAGGGGGAGAAGGGGGGAGAGGGGGAGAAGGGGGGAGAGGGAGGGAGAGGGAGGGAGAGGGAGGGAGAGGGAGAGAGAGAGAGAGAGAAAGGAAGGGCAGGAGGGGGGAGAAGGATATGAACATGGAGGGCATCACGCCATACCGGAGAACTGCCTCATAAATGCGCTTGCCAATGTCCTGCTGCAGTTCCGCCACTGTCTCGCGCAACTGTCGAGCTACGGCCTGGCCCTTGAGCGCGTCGATACAGAAGCTATTGTGCGGGGTAGGGCAAATGAAGAAAGCGATCACAGTTACGGGGCTTCCGTACAGCTGGAGCCGGTGGTTGAGACCTGGATCGCGGGGACTCAGGAAGTTAGAAAGGCCTGGGCATGGGTACTGACACAAGGTGTAGAGAGGGAGAGAGGGAGAGAGGGAGAGAGGGAGGGAGAGAGAGAGAGAGAGAGAGAGAGAGAGAGAGGCGCACGGGAGAGAGACTCGATGAAGATGTCCACGCCCTTGTTGCGGTACTCATAGCGCCCGGCCGTGAAGAAGTAGAGGGTGTTGTCGAGATCGAAGTCGTAATGGCCATAGAAGTGCCCGCGCACGAAGTCATGGATCTTTTCCTTGCTCAGGGCGTGCAAATTCTGGAACTCATGCAGGGCACTGAACTTGACCACATTCAGGCCATTGGGGGTAATGATGTCTGGTGGGGCGCGCGCGGCGGGTGAGTGGCCCGGACCTAGCAGGGAGCCGGAGAGAGAGCGGCGGGGGGGGGGGGGGGGCACAGAAAGGGGAGGCAAAACGCCGAAAAGAGACAGGAGGAAAGACGTGGAGAAGGGCGAGGGCAGGGCAGAGGGGGCGGGGGCGTCGGGGCGAGAACAAGGGGGAAGCGCGGCAAGGGAGGGGGGGGGAGGAACATACCAGGCGCCCGGCCCAGAAGGTACAGGGCCTCATCGCCAGTGATCTTGGACACCGTGGTGAAGGTGTGTGCACTGTGGGCGGCAGCCTTCTCAATGGCATACCGGTGGTAGATTTGGCGTTTGGAGGCCTCGAAGTCGGCGTTCACCTGTATCAGCCAGGGAGGAGGGGGGGCGGGGGGGCGAGGACAGACACAGTCAGCCACAAAACGGCGGAAACGACGGTCCGCCAACACGGCGACCGTTGGCACTTGGGGCGAGATAATGGGAACAGACGCGGCCCCCCGGTGATGTCCCCGGTCCCGACTAGGGCGGGCGCGCAGCTGCCCCTAACGGGCGCGGACTCTGCAAGGCAGCAGCTGCACATACACACACACACACACACACACACACACACACACACCAGTATCGACCGGGGCGTGATGGGCAATATGCACGGGCATTTGCGCGAACATGTACACATTATCCGGAAGGCCGAATACAACACGTACATGCGAGAAGGTGTTGTAGAAATCCACGTCACCAGCACACAGGTATCGACCAAGCAGAGTGGCATGCGTGGTGAAGAGGGTGGCGATGCGGAACATGCGCGCCCGGCAGAGGACCAACCCCACGCCGACCTGCCACTCATGGAAGTGCGCAATCACCTGCGGGGTGATCTCGTCCTCAACCCCGGGGCGCATCTCGTCCAGGTACCGTTGGTACTGGGCCAGGTAGGACCCCAGGAACCAGGCCACCAGGTATCCAAAAAGGATGGCATCATTGGTCTCGGTGTCCTGCTCGGGGGTGGGGATCTTGGTCAAGTTGATCCAGTTGTGCCGCCACTCGCCGAGACGCCCCGACACAGGGCCCAACTCGAAGAGCAGGATCGATGGATAGCCGCTGATCAGCCACCGGCCGTAGTGTACGACGACACCCTGGCCGCGCATCTCCTCGATGGTCCGCCGCAGGGCCGGGCTGGCACCATTCAGATGGTAGTCCGGCTCGAACTCCAGCTGCGAGTTGTTGGAATACGGCCCAATGAGGCAGTAGCTTTGGGTCGACCGGAGGGGTGATGTAAGGAAGTGGCGACGGAGGACGGGAAGAGAGGGCGAGGAGGCGAGGGGGAGAGAGAGAGAGAGAGAGAGAGAGAGGGGGAGAGGGGGCGGGGAGGCGAAGGAGGGAAGGAGATCCGCATGCCCATGGTCACCAAGATGAGGGGGCCTTTGTGGACATTTCCGGACTCGAAAGTCGCACGTACCGATCGCCAAACTCCTCGACAGTAGTCGCGGCCTTGGTCTTCAGGACAGTGTAAATCCCGCCAACTGCACGGAGAATCCCGGATGACAGAAGACAGGGCGAAGGCGCTTCAGGTTAGATCGGCCAGCTGGCCCCGGCACATGGTGACATCCAGAGCGCACCGCGATTACAAGCCTCCCAGGACACCTCGAACAGGCGCGGCTCATCGAGAGTCTTGCTGCCAAGGGGCCCCAGTGAGGGGGATGTCCCCAGTTTGAATTTTTGTTCGTCCATATGCAAGATGTGTGGAGGAGAGGCACGGAGAGGGGGAGGAAAGATGGAGGGGTCTTTGGTCGCGCAAATTCCACAGCAAGCCATGGGCGTGCCTCCTCTTGGATGGACCCACACACCCAAGCCGGGCAACCCCCACATCGAAGCGGGGGCGGGGGGGGCGGGG